AGTGTATCCTCCCTGGATCCACCCCTGGCTATAGTACTACAGTTGCATAGGAGTGTTATTTTACTTGTATTTCATAGATGTTGTAACTGTTCTGACTGTTAGTGCCATGTCACCACCGCCTCTTTTTAAGCAGCTAACTTTGAATAGAATTGCTTGATATATAGGCTCAGATCCTCAGTTTGTGTAAACTGCTCTAGCTTCATTCACTTCCATGGAGCTCTGCCAGTTTACACTCACTGAGGATTTTATTTAAACTTTTAACTTTTCCAGGCAGCTAGTTTCCATGACCCTATCGACAAATCTCTTTAATTGTCTTCTATTCTCCAGTATGGAAATAGCTGCTTTGTTTGGCTGTTTTGGTTTGGTTTTGTTAGGCTTCCTTCAGGCATAAATACTCAGTTTCCTTGATGCAGATCTTTCTGTTTTATAGGCTTTATATGCACCTTTCTTCTACAGAACTAGCTTCCTTTTCCTTTATATCTCTTTGAATCGCATCAGGTCACAATTTAATTGAAAAAAGACAAACATCCACTCCCTGTCTAGTCAAAAGAACAGCAGATTTCTTTATTGTTTTGTTTCTGTCACGGTGGCCTACATCATTCTCTTGGATTGCTTTAAAGAAATTTTTGCATGCCTGCCTGTGCACGTTTTCCTCTGACTATTTTTGATGACGTTTCTCTTAATGTCTAAATTCCCATACCAGGAATCATGTTAATTTCCATTATGTCACAGTCAAAATAGAAAGCGATGTATTTTCAGTCTTAGATATAAGTACAGGAAAACTTGATGACAGCAAGGAAAAACAAATGGTCTCTAAGAACTAAACTAAACTGTCCTGTGGAAATTGAAGATAGTATCCATTTTGTTTTCCCAAAAATGACTAGTGATTTTGTCAGAGTACTGTGTGAAAATTGGGACCCTTTAAGCCAGGAGGGGGCAAAATATGGCCCATGGACTGTGTCTGTCCTGCAAACTGATTGGATCCAGCCTGTGGGGCATGCCCACCATTTGATTGGATCCAGCCCATGCCTGCCCCCGTGACACTCTGCATGGGGCTGAGCCCCACCCTGGGGGCAGCCAGCACTGCACTCCTGCCCGCTTGCCCACTCTGCCCACCTGGCATGACGAGCAGGCACGTGTGGGCAGCCGAGTGGGTAGAAGGCATTCAAGAGCTAGAGCCAGAGCCCTGCGCATTCATCCAGATGAAGCATCCCCTTCACCCAGAGTGGTGTGGCAGGAGCAGGAGGAGGAGCCACTTCTGGAGGTAAGGGAAACTGAGTAGCACCCAGCCAGCTGCCACTGCACTAGGAGTAGCTCTGCTGGTAAGCTGTGTGCACTGGCTGGGCTGGAGCCAGTGGGCATGGGTGGAAGCATAGCATGGGCTGCCATGGGCAGGAGTGAGCAGGACTCAGCTCCTGTGGAGCACTGCAGGGGCAGCTGTGGGCCTCACCACCCAGGCAAACTCTGCTGCATGCACCCCCTGCTCCATCCCCCCTTCCCTCACCCCCAGCTGACTCCCAGGCCTAGCACTCATGGAACTACTCCCATATGTGCATCCCCCCAACAAGCACCCCCCTGCCACCCCACCATATCCCCCCACAGGGCAGGGGTTTGCAGGGAGTGTATTGCAGCTGGGACCTGGCCCCACATATCCCTGCCTGCAGAAGCAGGGCTTTGCCCCGGCCCTGGCCCTAGCCCCACACTCTCCCTGCCCCACGATCCCAAGGTCTCTATGGAGATGGGCTAGGAGCTGTGTAGGCAGGGCACATGGCTGGACAGGTGAAGACCTGCCTCCAGGGCCAGGGCCAGGATCATAGGGCAGTGAAAGCATGGGGCCAGGGGCCAGGGCAGAGCCCTGATCCACTCCCTACATGCCTCTGTCTGAGGAACCCACGCTTGTTGCAGGGGTATGCAGGCATTCAATTGCAGCTGTGCCTTGAACCCCAGACCCTGGCCCTATGCTGTCATCACCCTGTGAGCCTGTCCCATGATCCCAGCTTACCCGTCCATCCCACTTCCAAGCACCGCTCCCTGCCCGCCTGTGGCTCTATCCCACATAGGGAGTTTTGGTGCATTGTTGCACAGGGGTGGGGAGGTGCTGATCCAGCCCATGACATCTCATCAGTACTTCCTGTGTAGCCCTCAGGACCAAATAAATGCCCACCCCTGCTTTAAGCTGTCTTTCGCTGAGCACCCAAGGTTGGGAGCAGCTGTGGAAATCACCAGTGGCTTGAAAAGACTTAGCTACTGTACTTCAGAATTGTCCCTTAAACCTGGGGATGTTCCTTCCAGCTCCCAATGTGTGAGAAGGTGGCAGAGAACTTAGATGCCAGCTTTATGATAGCTAAGATGTCTCTCCCAAACAGGGGATATTCATGGGAACCTTACAATAATTTTATGGTCACTTTGCAGGAATAGTGGGGGCAAAGATTTGGCCTTCTGTATTTGAAGGAGGCATGGTTTGTTTGGTACAACTGTCATAGTTCTGACGGTACCTTATGCCTTGCTGGGATAATAAACATACCAGTGTAATGGGGGATGAAATGTCTCTTTTTTCCCCCAGGATAGAAAATATTAGAATATTCAAAAGAGGTAATTTATAGGTTTATATAAAGGTGTTGGTAATTACATTGTTTAGCTTTTTAAAGGTTTGTCAGCTCTTGTGCCTACACTGGATATCATTCATTTCCTCTCAATAATCAGGCATATGAACTCACATCTTTATATTTGACTTCTGTTCATAGGCGGAGGAAGAAAATATTATTCTGGGGGGGCTGAGCATGTACGTGCACCCCCCACCCCCAGGAGATAAGTCGGTGGAGGGAAAGGTACAGGGGTAGAAGGAAGGGGTGGGGCAGACTGAGGCCTCCATAGTGAGGGAGGGAGTGGGGCAGGGGCAGGGGCTGGGGTGAATGGGGCCTCAGGCCTGGGGCAGGTTGTGGCAGGATTGGAGCCCCAGGAGGCTTGTCCAAGGACACAGTGGGGGGAGGGGGCAGGCACATGACTCCCCCAGATTTGAGCATGGGGCAGAGGAGGGCTGCTGCTGCGGGCTGGGCTCTGCACACCACTGCCACTGCCTTGGGAACCAGGCGACACCATGTGCCTGCTGCCCCCAGGCCACTGTGTCTCCTGCCCACCCAGTAGCAGCAGGCACATGGCATTGTACAGCTTTCACAGCAGTGGCAAAGGCAGTGGGGTGCAGAACCTGGCCTGCAGCAACAGCAGCCCATTTCCTCCCTACACACAACTCTGGGTGGCACGTGCCCCATGTGCCTTCCTCAAGGCGCACTCCGCGGTGGAAGTCATTCTGCATCCCTGGATGAGCTGCCCAGGGCTCCAATAGTCCCATAACCTGCCTTTGGGCCCCATTCACCCCAGCCCCTGTCCCTGCCTCTGCCCTACTCCCTCCCTCACTGTAGGGGGGCCTTGATTCATAGATTCATAGATTAAGGGTCGGAAGGGACCTAGTAGATCTTCTAGCCTGACCCTCCGCCAGGGCGGGAGAACAACAAAAAACCCCAAAAAGAGAAACGGGACTCAAATGAGTCCAGCCAGGTAGGCATCCAGCCTCTTCTTAAAGACCCCCAGGGTAGGGGCCAGCACCACTTCC